AGAAGTCCCCAAACGATCAGCATTGCGCACGCAATAATATCAATAAAAAGGGGCACCCCCAATGTTGGGCGACGGGCAGCGCCATTTTTAACTACATTCACAACACCTAACAGGTTGGTTGATGCATCTGTAGAGACACCTGCACAAAAGGGGGGTTAAACAATAATTGGGATAAAGGGTTGTGAACAATAATTTGATAAAAAAAGCAAGGCATCAATTATCTTGGAAAAAAAGAAACTTTTTGAATTGTTTGATACTGCAACGGTTGCAGAATAAAACCCACTCCTGGTTGAAATATTAACACAGGCTTGAAAACACAGCCTTGTTGACACAAAACGATATAACATTAAATGTGATGAATTGAATTTCTACCCCACCAGGACGTCACACAAGCGATAAACACCCAATGATACAAGTGCCCCATGTGATAAAGATCACCGGGGAAAAAGGCCCAAACCCCGCGTTCAGCCATTAGACCACTTTTATGGTCGGGCTTTGCGCCCGTTCTGTGGAGAGAGGCCAAGCCGTTCTGTGGAGAGAGGCCAAGCCGTTCTGTGGAGAGAGGCCAAGCCGTTCTGTGGAGAGAGGCCAAGCCGTTCTGTGGAGAGAGGCCAAGCCGTTCTGTGGAGAGAGGCCAAGCCGTTCTGTGGAGAGAGGCCAAGCCGTTCTGTGGAGAGAGGCCAAGCCCTTCTGTGGAGAGAGGCCAAGCCGTGGAGAGAGGCCAAGCCGTTCTGTGGAGAGAGGCCAAGCCGTTCTGTGGAGAGAGCCAAAGCCTGTGGAGAGAGGCCAAGCCGTTCTGTGGAGAGAGGCCAAGCCGTTCTGTGGAGAGAGGCCAAGCCGTATGGTGCAATGAAGTCGACACTCTCGACTTTGACCTTTAACCTTTGTTTGTGATATGGTTGTCTTTAATGTGCTGATGTTCTCCTTATGCTCACAGGTGCGGTCGTTAAATGTAGCAGGTAACCAGTTGAATGAGCTGCCTCTTCCAAAAACACTGACTCACCTGTACCTGTCGGAGAACCCGCTGACCATGAATTTTACTGAACACAAATCTCTGTTCAACATTATGGGGGATAAGGATCATATGAGGTCAGATGTGTTACCTGTTGTTAATTGTGAAACAGTAATATTAACAGTAAGAAGAAACTCCACAGGGGAGCATGTACAGCAGGAGTCTACCAATCGTCTTTAGAAGTAATCTCTCTTCGACAAATGTTTCGGCCCACTGGCTCCTAGACATTTCCAGAGAGTGGGCCCACCTGAGTTCATGAGGCTCAGGGTTCGTTTCTCCTGCTGCACGTATTACCAGACGTTCTCTAACAGGGACAAGACGAAATTGGCGACTTTGCAAATGGTACTGTGAGATACTGTATTTACATAGTCGCTGCGGTAGCATAATTAAAGCAGTCTGCATACCTGGACGACCAAGTGGCAAGTGGTAATCATAATCTATGAGGCATATGCAGACACTGAATGAAACAAATTAAAGAACTTCCTTTTGCAAACGATCATCACCAAGAAAGGAATTTACGACACCATATTGACTCCTTACATCAAACCTTCACAAAGAATGATATGAGAATAAACACCTTGAAAACTTAGATAATGAGAATAGGCAGGAAATATGATACCACGAAAATTCATGTTAACGGTACTACAATTAAACTAGTACGAGAATTCAAATATCTGGAAAGCATATTTACGGAGGATGGCAGACTCAATAGAGAGAAAGAAGCCAGAGTACAGAAGGCAAATGCTGTCACCTACCAGTTAGCCCCACTACCTGGACACCCAAATGTCACTGCTTAGACTCCCAAATGTCTCCTTTCCAGCAAAACAGCAAATGATTAATAGCATCTTCCCCACTACATTATGCTATCAGTGCCATACATGGACAACAGAAAGGGCACTAGAACAGAAAACAACTACATGTGAAATGCGCTGTCTCCGTAAGATCACTAACAACACAAAAATGGACAGAGTTACGAAACGAAAACCAGCATTAGAGAGAAAGTTGGAATAAAACTAAGTCTTGATTATTCTGACATTGAAAAAAAAAAAACAATGGTTCGACAATCTAGTGAAAATACAGCCAGACAAAACGACTGCACATGAGACTTTTTTACAGCAGTACATCCGGGAGAAAGGCGAGGGGAGAACCAAGAAAGAGGTAGATTAATGATGTAAGCGGAAACCTGTAAAACAAGGAACAAATTAATCACCCAAACCACCAGAGAAGCACAAGACAAATTCAGAAACTCACGACAGGGAGCTACAACCTGGTGGCAGTGAGACGACAAAACCCTGACAGTGGGCTACAACCTGGTGGCAGTGAGACGACCAAACCACGACAGTGGGCTACAGCCTGGTGTCAGTGAGACGACCAAACCACGACAGTGGGCTACAACCTGGTGGCAGTGAGACGACTAAACCACGACAGTGGGCTACAGCCTGGTGGCAGTGAGACGACTAAACCACGACAGTGGGCTACAGCCTGGTGTCAGTGAGACGACTAAACCACGACAGTGGGCTACAGCCTGGTGTCAGTGAGACGACTAAACCAAGACAGTGGGCTACAGCCTGGTGTCAGTGAGAAGACAAAAGAAGAATAAGAAGTATCATAATCTGTACAAGAGGCAGAAGACCATATGTTGTAGTGAACCAGGATCAGGGTTCACCCTGTCAAGTCCTGTCTACACCCTCTCTCTCTCTCTCTCTCTCTCTCTCTCTCTCTCTCTCTCTCTCTCTCTCTGTATGTGTCTGTGTGAGTCTATGTGTGTCTGTGAAAGTATGTGTCTGTGTGTGTTTGTCTCTGTGTGTGTCTGAGTCTGTGTGCGAAATAATGTATGTATGTGTGTCTGTACGTGTGTGTGTGTGTGTATTTTTGTGTAAGTGAATGAGTGGGTGGGCTTATGTATGTGGGTGTGTGTGCACCGCGCGAGTGTGATCATTTATCTTACCATCCATGTATTTGTTCCTCGATATTCAAAATAGGCATATTATTATATGAACATAACATGCTTTATTGACAAAATACAACTGCTGTGTGAAAGATGGGTGTTTGGAAGGGCCGAATGTAAGACGGGCTGGCGTGCCCAATTTGTGACCCTTGGAAAATAAAGTTCGTTCGTTCCTTCGTTCTCTGTGGTCTTCATACAAACAGGTTCCTAACCGGGAGCCTGGTCAGTGTAGACAGGACCGAGGTTGTCTTCGCAGTCAGAGTACATCTGCCTAAGGGTCAAGGACCAAACAGCCTGCACACAACTCAGATTTGTAAAATGGATGAGCAAGCAACACTTAAGTCCTGAAGCAATACTAAAGTCAAGAAGTAAAGAACAACCAGAATTTTAAAGCGGAGTTCACAGTCGGTGAACGTAAAGAAGAAAAAGAAGAAAAGAAGAGGAAGAAAAAAAAAAGCAGAGGTGGGAGAGAAGAAAGAGGATGAAGATAATCAATATAATTTCAGTACTAAACGTATATCCATATGCAGCCATGTTATTACCGAGGTCCTCATGGAAAACATAGAGTGGTAACACATCTTCCTATCAAATATGTCGTTACAAGCAGCTAAGGTTATCTTCGACATCAAGCCACCCAAAAAAGCCATTATGCGGATGCCAATCCTTCAGGGGCAAATCCCTGATATCTTCTTCAAATGTATAAACAAATTGCGGTAGCCTGTGAATTCAAGAAGTAACATGCAGTCCGGGACAGGAAGGGAAATCTCTCTCATTAAAGCCTCTGTGATTAGAAAGCGTTATGTATAACTTAGACAACAAATGCCGTCAGAAGTTGAATCAGTCCATCTAAAGACACACATACGCATCCATTGTATGAATGAGCCCAATGCACTTACGTCCTTGGTTGAACGAAGAAGAAGACGAAGAAGAAGAAAAAGAAAAAGAAAAAAAGAAAGAAAGAAAGAAAGAAAGAAAGAAAGAAAGAAAGAAAGAAAGAAAGAAAGAAAAAGAAAGAAAGAAAGAAAGAAAGAAAGAAAGAAAAGAAAGAAAGAAAGAAAGAAAAGAAAGAAAGAAAAAGAAAGAAAGAAAGAAAGAAAGAAAAAAGAAAGAAAGAAGAAAGAAAGAAAGAAAAAGAAAAGAAAGAAAGAAAAAAAGAAAGAAAGAAAGAAAGAAAGAAAGAAAGAAAGAAAGAAAGAAAGAAAGAAAGAAAGAAAGAAAGAAAGAAAGAAAGAAAGAAAGAAAGAAAGAAAGAAAGAAAGAAAGAAAGACAGAAAGAAAGACAGAAAGAAAGAAAAAGAAAGACAGAAAGAAAGAAAGACAGAAAGAAAGAAGAAGAAGAAGAAGGATAAGAAGAAGAAGAAGAAGAAGAAGAAGAAGAAGAAGAGAAAGAAGAAGAAAAAGAAGAAGAAGAAGAAGATGAAGAAGAAGAAGAAGAAGAAGAAGAAATATGCATATTATTATTTGAAAATAATATGCTTTATTGATATAATACACTCTTGTGTGAAAGATATAAGAAGAAGAAGTAGAAGCGGCAAAAGAAGAAGCAGAATCAACAGAAGAAAAAGCAGCAGAAGCGTAAGACTAAACAGCCTGACATGGCTTGGTTACACACATTATAATATCTCCAACAAGCTGTTCGATATGTTTCAGGAATCTGATACATCTTGAGCTGTGTAAGCTGGGCCTCGATGAACTTCCTCCTGCACTTTTCAACTGTCGACTGCTCAAAGTCCTGAGGATTACAGACAATAAGCTGCATGCCCTGAATGGCCAGGTGAGTGTCTTATCATCTTATCAGTTGTATACTCATTCAATGTTAATTTAATATGTGGTTTGTCGGCGTCGTAGACATCCTGTAAGATTTGATCAGGGCATTATAGACAGGAGGTTTTAGACGACCTGCAAGATTCGATCAGGGCATTATAGACAGGAGGTTTTAGACGACCTGCAAGATTCGATCAGGACATTATAGACAGGAGGTTTTAGACAAGCTGCAAGATTCGATCAGGACATTATAGTCAGGAGGTTTTAGACAACCTGCAAGATTCGATCCGGACATTATTATAGACAGGAGGTTTTAGACGACCTGCAAGATTCGATCAGGACATTATAGACAGGAGGTTTTAGACAACCTGCAAGATTCGATCAGGACATTATTATAGACAGGAGGTTTTAGACAACCTGCAAGATTCGATCAGGACATTATAGACAGGAGGTTTTAGACAACCTGCAAGATTCGATCAGGACATTATAGACATGAGGTTTTAGACAACCTGCAAGTTGATAGACATTATAGACAGGAGGTTTTTAAGATTAGGCTGAGACATTAGACGACCTACAAGCAGGTTGCAGACAACCTGCAAGATTAGACTCGGACATAAGAGACAGGAAGTTTTAGACAGTCTGCAGTATTAGGTCCAGACAGGAGTTTCTAGAGAACTTGCAAGATTAGATCACGAAATTATCGACAGGAAGTTGTAGACACCATTTAAGATTAGGCTGAGACATTATAAACATGAGCTTTTAGACAACTGCAAGATTAGGTGTAGACATTTTAAACAGGAGATTGTAGACAAATTGCAAGATTAGATCAGGACATTATAGACAGGAAGTTGTAGACAAATAGCAAGATTAGATGACGACATTAAAGACAGGAAGTTGTAGACAACCTGCAAGGCTATACACAGACATTATAGACATGAGGTTGCAGTCACGCTTAACGTTGAGATCAGGACAATATAGACTGCTTTTTGAACTACAAAAATAGACCCAGACATTAAAGACAGTAGGTTGTAGACAAACTGAAAGATTATATCAGGACATTATAGACACGAGGCTTCAGACAAACTGTAAGATTAAGCCCAGATATTATAGACAGGGGTGATGTAGATCATCTGTCTTTAAGTTAAGTTGAGTCCAGAATTGACGTCACAGTACTCGGGGCATTTCTATACACGCTGCGTCCCCATCTTTAACAGCCAGCGCAGAGTTCCAAAACTAATGGTACCTGTCACAATCTGGTTATATGTCCGTCTTGCCTTTCCTCTGAGTGTAGTGAGCCGACCAGACCCTCTGGTTACACCCAGGTGCATCATTCTCTCAAGGCAATAATAATTGTGTTTCTCTTCTGACTTGGGTACTTGTTTCTAAAGTGCCTTGATCACACGTGACTTGTTATGTATAAATTTACAACCCAGTGGAGCAGATCCATTCCACACTGTGTATTCCCCACCATGCCGGCATTGCCTGCAGAAAAGATCCAAAGTATGCTAATCTGTAAGATTATAGTAGAACCTACAGACAGGAGGTTGTAGACAAGCTGTAAGATTAGGCCCGAATATTATAAACGGAATGATGTAAACAAGTTACAAGACCATACCACCCCCCCCCCTTTTTTTTTATCACACAGACGTGTTTAGCTTTGAAAAATTTCCCGAGGTAATTAGATAATTCTGAGAGAAAACTGAACATGTTACGACTACTGGAAAGATCTGTGGAAAAAGAGACAGGGGAAGGCGTGAAAAGATTCTTAACAATCATTTGTCATAGCATGGAGGAGCGTCAACACACGAACTGATACACGCAGTTGTAGATCGCAGATTGTGGAGAGGCATGATAGCCCACGCCAGTTGTCAAGGCACTTGATGATGATGAATTAGGCAATTAATGTATGCAACTATTTGTAGCTTTTTGCCTTGATACCATGTAACTACATATCAGTGACTTCTGGTTTCTTTCACATACTGTATTTGTATTCAGTACCCAGCTTGACTCTGGTAGATGCAAGATCTTTTTAAAGACGCGGTTCTCAACCTGTGGGTCGCGACCCTTTTGGGATTCGAACGACCCTTTCACGGGGGTCACCTAAGACTATCGAAAAACACATATTCACTGAAGTTATGAAATAGCAACCACAATAATTGTATGTTATGTTTGGGGGTCACCACAATATGGGGAACTGTATTAACGGGTCGCGGCATTAGAAAGGCTGAGAACTACTGTTTACAAGGCTGAAATACCCTGAAAGCATTTTAGTTATAACTCAGCTTTCCATGGAATTCACCACCAACCAATCACCCTTTTCACCTTTACTTATAATGCTATGTTCCTTCATGTTATGATGTGATTACAGCCAACGTCATTACTTTTTCCGCGTTTTCTGGTCATGCGCATAATCCACTGTGGGCCATAAACTGGGATGTGATCCCAAGGTCTCTTATGTTTCCCCAAAGCTTAGTTGTCAGGTCTACTGGATGTTGCCACATGTTGCTTAATTTATATGAGTTTTTTTTTTTTTTTTAGTTTGCAGTATCCAGTGCGTAAGCGAAAAACGGTGACTTGGTCTGTTCTGTTCAGGTGTTTGAGAAAATCTTTTCAATGTTTATAACCAGTGTTAGTTTTCCAATATGTTTCTGTTTTTCTCTTAAAACGTCATTACAAAACAGGCATTTTCATGCACGCTCAGTTCACAGATGCAGCAGCCTGCCTAATGTACATCTATTTATCATTTCATAACGATGTTGCGTATTTATCTTTGCAGCCGGTTACTCATTTAAGTCTCTGTACTTTGCCTATTCAGGTGAGCAAACTGAAAGCTCTGGAGTACCTGGATGTGAGCAGAAACAACCTGCTTGATCTACCTGCCGGACTCAGTGAGCTGCACAATCTGAGGAGCATTAAAGTCACAGAGAATGGCATTACCGAATTTCTGCCGGTCAGTTTGTCACTTTCTACCAGTTATATGTTATATCTAGTCTATCAATTATGTTATATCTAGTCTACCAATTATGTTATATCCAGTCTACCAATTATGTTATATCTAGTCTACCAATTATGTTATATCTAGTCTATCAATTATGTTACATCTAGTCTATCAATTATGTTATGTCTAGTCTACCAATTATGTTATATCTAGTCTATCAATTATGTTTTATTTAGCCTACCACTAATTGTATATTCATGTATTGTGCTGATAAAGGCTACTCGTCAAAACGTCCATGTTGTGCGCTATCTGAGTTACACACTAATCCGCACACTTCCAAGTGTCTAAAGATATAACTTCCGCTCCCACACTCTCGCAGCAGGACTCGACGACAGTAGTTCCGTCATACATTGGATTTATTCGACAGAATACAAGAGGGTATATACACAAGTCCTCATACCAATAAAACTGCATACGTAGAGATGTAGACAACTTGTGGGACGAACTCTCCTATCCACTGGACCTTAATATTACTTCCGCAGACAACCACGACTGACTGAAAACAGACTTCACTTACCCGTTCTCCAGCATGTGCCCACAGCACCTCAGTCTGTTAAAAGACTCCGATGACCGACAGGACTTCTAACACAAGTCCACTCTAGCACACAGTTCTCGTGGGCATCCCAACTGTTCTGTTTCCGTAGTGACCCAACGTCTTCTTGCGCCGTCACCCAGAACAGTCACTATTGGAGCACCCAGTCCTCTTGGACTTACTTCGCCAGCGGAACTATACCTTCGACCAGTACCGCAACCCTTACTCAGACCTTGATGCCTGATAGTTGCACGGTACTCTGTCTGTCTCACTCGAGAGGGATACTGACGGACCCTGACTTGGTCTCTCTCTCTCTCCCTCTCTGTCTTGCCCTGACTGACTCGGACTGACTACGCAGCCCAATAAATCTCTGCCGAACTCATGTGGGCGGCTTAGGTTGACACGAGGGGCACGCTCGTGTGGGCGTTCTCGAGAATCATGCTCATGTGGGCGTTCTCGAGAATCATGCTCATGTGGGCGTTCTCGAGATTCATGCTTATGTGGGGGTTCTCGAGAATCACGCTTATGTGGGTGGCTGATATTACATGAGAATCACGCTGTCACGTAATTCAGACTCTATCTGTGTGTCTCGTTAGCAAAGCTTGTCAGCCCCCACCGTACCTCCACGTGTCTACTTTCTCGTGACACTACACTTCTCACATGTCAACATTCTCTCCCCCTCACTACTAGGGCCAATGTTGACAATATTTCCCTGAACTCCCAGAAAGTACTATCATACACTCTGTCCCTTCACACACTATTATACTCTCCCACATCAGCACGCAACAGCCCACTTGTTGTTTGTGTTCGCGATAATTTGAAGCTGCTCTAATGTGTGTGTGTGTGTGTGTGTGTGTGTGTGTGTGTGTGTGTGTGTGTGTGTGTGTGTGTTTTGAATAGGCAATTATTTCATAATCTTTGAGTAATAAGATTTAATTTCGCGGCAGATAGTTTACTTAAAAAAAAAAAAAAACGGTTTTTGTAGTTTTGGGGCAGTGTTTAGAAAGTCGCATCGTTTGTTAAAAAAGTGATTGAAGCAATATTTCCAAAATATTCCCAGAAGACAATAGTGGGTACACTGCAGCCAACTGTGTTTGTGGCCGGGGCGGGATGGGGGGGGGGGTGGGGGAGGGGGAACGACACACACATTATTTGTATAAATAAAATGTATATAGAGAGAAATGTCCTGCACCCAGTGTGGACAAGGATTAATGTCCTTCAACGGTATCGTCAACAGGGCATCTTGAAGCTGTGCCACTTGGAGGAGCTTGACATGAGCTTCAACGTGATGAGACTGATGCCCGACGACTTTGGCAGTCTGATCAAGCTGATGAAGCTCAACCTCTCCCACAATGAGCTGCTGAACTTTCCTCAGGACAAAGTGGATGTCCTGGCTTCCCTTCTAGAGCTGGATGTTTCTCATAACCACATTGATGTGATGCCTTTAGGATTTCCCTACCTGTACCGGCTGAAGGTAATGTCTGGTTGTTAAAACGGTAAACTGGTCTTCTTCTCCTTCTCCTTCTTCTCCTACTTCTCCTTCTTCTCCCTCTTCCTCCTTTTCCTTCTCCTCCTCCTCCTCCTCCTTCTCCTCCTCCTTCTTCTCCTTCTCCTCCTCCTTCTTCTGCTACTTTCCCTCTTCTTCGTCCTCCTTCTTCTCCTACTCCTCCTCTTCCTTCTTCTTCTTCTTCTTCTCCTACTCCTCCTCTTCCTTCTTCTTCTTCTTCTTCTTCTTCTTCTTCTTCTTCTTCTTCTTCTTCTTCTTCTTCTTCTTCTTCTTCTTCTTCTTCTTCTTCTTCTTCTTCTTCTTCTTCTTCTTCTTCTTCTTCTTCTTCGTCGTCGTCGTCGTCGTCTTCTTCTTCTTCTTTTGCTTATACCTTAAACGTCGCAGGGAAGAGTTAGATGTAGTTTCTTGTCTTTGACTTGTATTAATGTCATACTGGATTTCTGTAGGGTCTCTTACTTCCTCGACCCATCTCTTTCTTGGTCGGCCTTTTGTCTTGTAGCCTGCTGTTCTTATGTAGTATGCTTTAGCTGATGCTTGTTTTGTTCAATTCTGACCAGAGAACCAAACCATTTGATTCTATAAAATCATATACCAGTACTATTCTATGGCTGTTCTTAGTTCTTCATTGAAAACGGTCTCTTTTTGTTTTTCTCGTCGCAGTTCTTACATGCTCACATGTCATTGTGCTGCAGACTGTGGCATACACATATCCATGCGCAGATTGATTAAGAAAAAAAAAGGGGGGGGGAGGGTTAAAAAACACCTTTGAAGCCAGAATTTATTTTTTTATAGACCAATCAGCACTCACTAGCTAATGTGATCAACATCTCGCCGGTCGCCATTACTTCCCATGACATTTTCCGGTATGACAATATCGGTTAATGCGGATTTGGACCGTAGACTTTCGGCGAGCGTCTAGTCTTTATGCTATCCTTGTTTTCTATAAGACTGGCTTACTTGCTATCTGCTACCACATTACACTTCAAGGATTGTTGTTCGTTATACTTGTATGAAATGACTTAAAATGATGAAACCTTTGCAAGTGTTGTAGATACTACGATAACCATGCTATTTTCTTGTAACATGTCAGTATTGCTGTTAAGGTGGTCAAGAGTGTTAAGCACGTGGCATCACTGTGCAGACGAACACGGTGACATCGTAATGACAGATTAAAATTACCGCCGCACTTTTGACATGCAACAAAGAGGAGCAGCGTTCTGTTATCCGTCTTTTAATCAGCGAAGGGATGAATACTGTAGACATTCCTTGGCAAATGAGAATTCCCTCGTAGAATTCCCAAATGGTTTATCACATTAGCAAATTCATTGTGTGTCACTGTTTATGTACTGAGAAAATCACTTTCATAAAAAAAAAAGGTAAAGGCCACTCGGTGAATGATGTGGTGAACACCACACCGGCCGCCTTTACTTTCGAGGACTTACTTGATACCCATTTAGGGCTGGGTCAACTGGGAGCCAAGATCATTTAAAAAAAAATCCCGACTCCACCAGGACCTGAACTTACTAGATGCGGATCCGCAGGCGAGCAATCTAGCCGCTACACCATCAGAGCTGCCCACAGTCTTATATAATATATATAAATATATATAATTTTCAGAGCTTGAACGCCAGTAGTAACGACCTGAAGTCCTTGCCAGGTGACTTTGACAAACTGAAAGCTGCCGTCTATCTCAACTTCTCTGATAACATCATTGAATCCCTGCCAGAGAGTATCTGCAAACTTCCGGCCATTAGAGAACTGGACGTATCCAATAACAAGTAAGGGGATCCAGTAAAAACATCATCATCATCACCATCATTATCATCATCATCATCATCATCATCTGGTGTGGGGGATCATGGATCTTCACAATCTGCAATCTCTAACAGCATGTTTCAGCTCGTGTGTTGACTCCTTTTTATGCCATGACAGGAAGACTTTTAAGAATCTTCTACCGTTATTTTTTCCTGCCTCTTTTTCCATATATCTCCTTCCAGTTGTCATAACATGTTTTAGTTTCTTCTTCTCATAACATTAAAAAAAAAAAAAAATGACTGCCTTTTTCTTGATGTTTGTGATAAGTTATTTTCGAGCCCTCGTTTCTTTCCAAACATGGAGGTTGCTCTTGTTTGGCTGTCCACCTTATATCAGCAAGCAAAAAAATTAGGTGCCTTGAGAGAGGGGAACCCTTGAGGCCGTAAATATTATATATTAATAAAGTAACAGATTTGGGGGTGCCTAGTTGACCATGTTCTTAGTGCACTTGTTTCCATAGCGAGGCGCACACGCCGTCTGGTGTTGACAGGTTCGATTCCCGGCACGGTAACTATAGCTTTCGATGTTTATGTTGTTTAGTGTGTTCTTCTATCTTTCTACTTCTTTCTATGAGTGCCGATCAATATATTTTTTTTTTTTTTTAAATCATTTTTTAGAGGCAACTCTTAAAGGCAGGAGTCGATGTGGCGGAGCGGCTAGACGCCCGCCGCAGATCGATAGGGCGTGGGTTCGCTCCCCGGTGGAGTCGGACTTTTTTTCTAAAATGACCTTGGCTCCCAGGTCGAGCCAACCTTGAGTGAATACCGGGTGCAGTCCTGTGAAGAAAAGGCGGCCGGCGTGATGCTGACCACATCACCCATCTTGTGCCGATTGGTCTAAAAAATATAGGCCTAGCCCTATATGCCCTATACGCCTAACAGGCGTGGAAAATGGTCCTTTCCTTTTTTAACTTCCTCTAAAAGGCATTTTATTATAAGTACCAGCACACTTTTGGGTGGGGGGGGGGGGGGTGAGTGCCGGCACCTTTTTAATACTGTACCATCAAAAGTTGCATCTTTTTGATACTGTACCGTGAACAGTGGCATATTTTTTTTTAACATATGTATCTGTATACATACCCTGACGCATTACTACTGTTTTTTTTTTTATTTTTTTTTTATTCTTCCAGAATTGTCCTAGGCTTGCCAAAGGCTTGGGAAAACCTCAGGGCTCGCTGTGATGTGAAACAAATGGACCAGTCTTCCCACAAAAAGCGAGAACCACAAGCTAGGCCTGTCAAAGAAGATCCCAAGTCATCGCCGAAAAGCGCCAAGAAGAAAGGAAGTATGAAAGGACAGAAGAAGTCACAGATCGCAAACTCTGTGTCACAAGGAACTTGAATGGAGATTTCCCATTACAAAGAAGATAGGAGTAGTAGTAGTTTTTCAAAAATATCCTGTTCAATCCCAAGGGTTATAATTGGGATATATAGTGTTAATTGGATTCTTATAGTATATACTTGTTATTTTAAATGTATATATCATGTGATTACTTTTATGAACAAAAATGCAATTTGTAGAGTTTCACATTTTGCTTTTATTTCGGTTGTGATTACGACAGAAAATGTATTATGAATAATTACACTCTATATTATCAATAATTAGACTATCTTGATTATGACAGAAATTGTACTATGAATAATTAGACAATCTTGATAGCATTTTGTCATTAGCATGGTGGATATATTGTTTCCCTAGTGTGCAATCATTGATTATTCTCCTCGATCCTATCTTTAGGGGAAAGTACTCCAAAGATACCATAGGCATTATTTGCCCTTTCCTTTATGGATACAAAGAAAGACCTTGCCTGCTGAGTTTATCCGAGAAAAAAGACAGACTCTTATAATAATCTGTGCTTAAAAAGTAGAACATTATACACAACAATGAGAAGCAGACAATGTTATTTGGTCATGTGATGAGAAAAATAAGCAGTGGAAAATATGGTGACGACTGGAAAGATCCCTGGTAGAAGAGGCAGAGGAAAGCCAAAGAAACGATGGTGGATGGCTTAGGACAGTGGCATGGAGGAATATCATCAGTGGTATTGATCCCGAACACCAAAGACCGGGATCTGTGGATGCAGGAACGCCTACGCCCGCTAGCAGGGCGCTTGATGATGATAATGATACTTTGAAAGACACCTTCGTGCTTATTTTCGGGGGATGTGTGTATATGAAATACACACAAATCGACGTTCAAGTACAATAATCTACATATTTAGTTAAAGAATTCGAAAGGATTGACTTCATTGCACCGTTGGTTAAATCCTATATGGCCCCGTCTGTCTTTGCAGAACGGCCAGCCGCTTGCTGAGCGTGTAGCACGAAGCCCAAACCCCAAAGCTCCGGCCACGTTCTCCGAAAATCTCCGTGTACGGTCTAGGAAGCTGTTAATTTAGCTAACACATGTTTGTCTCTACAGTAATAACATCTGTGGGACAGAAGTGGGTAAAAGACCCGTTTTATTTCCGCGGCGCATCCGCCATATGAAAGTAAAGGACCTCTTCTCCACGCCTTTAGGTGGCATATTTTTGGGTAACAGCCTAGAAGATGCGAACCAAGCAATCGCCTGAGACACCACTGGTGTATACAAGTTTAGGCTATCCTCCGAATAACGGGCACAAAAGATGGCGGCCGCAAAACACCCTAACAGAGCCTCAGTCACGTGTCAAATGCGCAATTCTGCCGACTTAATTTACGGTTTTCCGGCGACTACCGACACCGCCGAGGGTATCCCGCACGCCGCTCACTCGGCGTGGATTGGGGCTTAACTAGATGACTAGGACTCACGAGCAGCAACTTCCGAATCTCCTGCAGGTTTGCTCGTGAGTCCTAGCCATCTAGTTTAGCCCTAATCCACGCCGAGTGAGCGGCGTTCGGGAGACTCTCGGCGGTGTCGATAGTCGCCGGAAGTGCGTAATTGACACGTGACTGAGGCCCTATTTTTGGCCGCCATCTTTTGTGCCCGTTATTCAAAGGAAAGCAAAAGTTTATTTTACCAAGTATTTATTATATCTGTTTTTTAACTACTCCTGTTACATCCATTTAAAATGTAAATGAAAACTTATGAATCACTACAGGCCTACATTTCAAAATTTAGTAAAATTTATTGCAACTTAAATGGAAGACAGGGTTGAGTTAAGTTGAGTCGAGAAAAGAACTGAGATCACAGCAATCGGGGTATTCCCATGCTTGCTTGGTCCTCATCTTCAGCAGAGTTCCGATACTGATGGTACCGGTCACAATCTGGATATATGTCCGTCTTTCCTTTTCCCTGAGTGTATCGAGCCAGCCAGACCCTCTGGTTACACCCAGGTTCCCCATTCTCTCCAGGCCATAATAATCTTGCTTCTCTACTGATTCAGTTCATAAAGGACATGGAAGACAGTGATCAGTATCTGGATGGTTTACATAGATGGGGGTGGAAGAGAACACTGACCTTATCTGCGAATCTTGCAATTTTGCGGGGACAACAAACAGTGACCATTAACGCTTATCGGTAGGGCACAGGATGATGACTCAAATGTTAATAGGTGTAGCATATATGTCTTTTTCAAAAATTACCTTGACTCCCAGGTCGACCCAGCTTTGAGGGAGTACCGGGTGCAGTCTCAGGAAGTAAAGGCGGCCGACGTGATGCTGACAACATCACCCATCTTGGGCCGCTTGGTCTATAAAAAAAAGGTCTAGCCCTATATGCCCTATAAGACTAGAGGCGTGGAAAAGGGACCTTTACTTTACTATATACGTCTTTAATTTAAATGTGGAATATACGGAAAAACCACATTTTGTCAAAAAATGAGTTTACGGACCGTCATCAAACTATATTTCATGGAGTGACATGTAAAGACATTTTCTCACGAGTCTTTGGACTGAGTAACATTACACAGTGAACTTATGGAGCCGCTCATCATCATCATCATCATCAAGTGCCTTGCTAACTGGAATAGATAATTATACAAGTTGGGGGAGGAGGAAAGAACCATTTTCCACGCCTTCAGGGGTATTGGGCATACAGGGCTAGACCTATATTTTATAGACCAATCAGCACTCGGTGGGTGATGTGCCCTTTACTTCCCCGGACTGCACCTGGTAACCACTCAAGTCTAGGTATGATCTGGGAGCAAAGGCCATATTTGAAAGAAGTCAGGATCCAAACCCACGACCTTAAGATCCGCAGGCGAGCTTCTAGCCGCTGGACCACGGCGGTTCCCATACCGTTTCACAACTAGCGATCGATTTATGGAAACAGTTCTCGCATACATGACATTTTTCATTGCCATTTGATAGACTTGGTGTATGTTTTATTTTCTGTTTCACGTTTATTATTTTACATATTCGTCTGTGTTGTGTTATATTCTGTTGCCACAATCGACGACACTTCACATTGGACAACCCCATAAATGCTCTGTCCTCCAAAAAGCAGCCACTCCAATATACCTCTGCTAAATGTCCCCATGAAAAATTGGTTATGGTGTCTCCTCTCTAGGCCTCGGAGAGAGGTGCTTCACCAAGCTTCACTCATAGGTCATGCAGTCATGTTAGCGGCAGAGATTCTTCTGGGCTTAGCGCTAGTGTTAAAGGAATAGCGACTTCTACTAAACCTAACCCCCTACCCCCTCCCTCTCCCTCCCACCCCCTCCCCCTCACCATACTATGGGATGTCCCTAAATCTCGCATGATGTGGTGACTTAACAGAAAAGAACCTAAAAATGCTTTTCATTTATTTCGTCTATTTGCTCTTGTATTTATGTGTTGTATTATTGAGCAATGATTACATTATTATATAAACCCAAATCAATGCCAAAAACTATAGGATTTTTTTTTCATGAGACCGGACCACAAGTGGTAAGTAAACGGACTTCTACACCAAACGCCAACCAACGGGGTACATTCAGTTAGGAGACATCGATAGTAATATCACCAGGGATTCAATATTTATAGCAGCCATCTTAAAATCGAAATTTATACCCAAAAATCAGCCAGCAGATGGAGCAACGGTTCTTAACCTGCCGGTCGCGACCCTTTTTTTGGGGATCGAACAACCCTTTCACAGGGGTCGCTTAAGACCATCGGAAAAAAAAAAAATATTTTTTGAAGTTATAAAGGAAAATAATTGTTTCGGGGTCGCCACAACACGGGGAAAGCGGCGTCCGTGGGTAAGGCTTTGCGAGTCCGATTTGTAATATCCAACGTACCGCGATCGAAACCCACTGCTGGCTGCGTGGATTTTCATCATGGTATGGGGCGTCGCAGGTCGACCCAGTCTAAAATGGGTACCAGGATGGCTGTCCTGTGGAAGTAAGACGGTCGGTGTAATGCTGACCACATTACCCACCCAGTGCCGATTGGTTTGTAAAAATATGGGACGGTATTAGGAATTTTGAGGGCCACTGAGCTGGAGCGTTTCAAAAGACCGACCAAGAAAGAGATATGTGGAGGGAGTAGAAGCGACCTAGAGAAACGGAGTATGATATCAACTCACGCTCCACAACAAGCAAAAGACATAAACTACATTTAACTCCTATCAGCAACGCTTTACGGCAGGGATAAGTAGGATAAAAAGAAAAAAGAGGAAAATTATGAGACTTTTCAGTAACAGTCGCTGGCACTCCCAGCTCTCTCCGCTCCCGACAAGGAACTGAGCAAAGAAAGAAAAAACACGGCAACCCAAGAATCGTCAATTACTCCAGTTTGCCAGCACAAAATCTTGAAGGCCTTGTCTTAGGCATTGGCTAATTGCCGTTTTATTGATAGGCTCGTGTCTGTCTATCTGTCTGTCTCTTTGTAGCGACATATACGGCACGTGCCGCTACTGCCGGTCTGACTTCCTTCACACAAAAAAAGGCGGAGTTGCATGCTTCATTGAACTGGCGGTTCAAATTCACGATGTTAAAATAGAAGACAGTTATTTTTTCCGCCGGCGATACTAAGGCAGGGTTACTTACACGGTGAGGTTTGTGAAGGTGTGTACTAGTTTTATGTAAGAATGTATGTGTGTGTATGTGTGTGTGTGATCAGCTAGATGTAATTTTCTTTAGCTGATTTTAAACGACATTATTGGCACCATTTGTAAACTGAGTGTAGGTGATATTTAGCGGGGACATTAGTAAACTGAGTGTAGGTGATATTTAGCGGGGACATTTGTAAACTGAGTGTAGGTGATATTTAGCGGGGACATTTGTAAACTGAGTGTAGGTGATATTTAGCGGGGACATTTGTAAACTGAGTGTAGGTGCTATTTAGCGGGGACATTAGTAAACTGAGTGTAGGTGCTATTTAGCGGGGACATTTGTAAACTGGGTGTAGGTGATATTTAGCGGGGACATTTGTAAACTGGGTGTAGGTGATATTTAGCGGGGACATTTGTAAACTAATTGTAGGTGATATTTAGCGGGGACATTTGTAAACTGAGTGTAGGTGCTATTTAGCGGGGACATTTGTAAACTAAGTGTAGGTGATATTTAGCGGGGACATTTGTAAACTAATTGTAGGTGGTATTTAGCGGGGACATTTGTAAACTGAGTGTAGGTGCTATTTAGCGGGGACATTAGTAAACTGAGTGTAGGTGATATTTAGCGGGGACATTAGTAAACTGAGTGTAGGTGATATTTAGCGGGGACATTTGTAAACTGGGTGTAGGTGATATTTAGCGGGGACATTTGTAAACTGGGTGTAGGTGATATTTAGCGGGGACATTTGTAAACTAATTGTAGGTGGTATTTAGCGGGGACATTTGTAAACTAATTGTAGGTGGTATTTAGCGGGGACATTTGTAAACTGAGTGTAGGTGCTATTTAGCGGGGACATTTGTAAACTAAGTGTAGGTGATATTTAGCGGGGACATTTGTAAACTGAGTGTAGGTGGTATTTAGCGGGGACATTTGTAAACTGAGTGTAGGTGCTATTTAGCGGGGACATTTGTAAACTAATTGTAGGTGGTATTTAGTAGTAACATTTCTAAACCGCATGTAAACGATATTTGGTGGTAACATTTCTAAACTAAGTATAAATGATATTTATTAGTATATTTTTGAACTCAGTATGGTTGATTATAAGTGGCAATATTACTGAACTGACTGTAAGCAATATTTGTTGGCAACATTCCTGAAATTAGCACCTATGGTTGAAAATCTACACCAAGCACCGGCATGTTGTACAATTTTCTGTACTCTTCGTTGGCTAATGAAGAAGGTATCGAGCTTAGTGTCTGAACTCGGTTGCTTCGGTGATAGATTAGCTGCTGTCGATCCTTAGGGCGATGAACTACTTTATGATATAGCGAACGTGGTGACGGCTCTCTGTGATCAGATGGACAGTGTAATAGAGAAGACAGAGAATCCATACATTGAAAGGTTAACGTCGGTGAATAGATGTTCTGAATTTATTCAACACAAGGGGCTGGGGGAGGGGGGCAGATGGGCTTTTTTCAGATTGCAGCTGGTACTATAAGCATGTTGACGTTTCGTTGGCTACTGATGAAGGGGACGGAGCACATGTGGGAATGTCCCAAGTGAAGCGATGTCAACTCTTGATTCATTAATTCACCCACGATTGCACAATGTATTAGAATCAAACTTCGCCTTGTGTCACTAGACACGAGATGGCCCACGCGAGGGCCTACATGAGATTCTGACGTAAAACACCCCCTGCAAAGCTGCCTAGGGGTGAAAAAAAGGTAAGCTTCTAAAGAGGTGGTCTCGAGGTATAGTGTCCGCCTCGAGTTCTGGAGGTCACGGGTTCAAGCCCCGGTAAGGGCTGGGATTTTTTCACGTGGACTTCTTGTAATTTTCCCTGGTCTCTGTGTAGTAAGCTCGGACGCCCGGGTGTATTGCTGCGCACGTAAAAAATTGCTTGGCAGTTGGAAATCGAAAATAGTAGCCTAACGGCGCTGGCCGGGCAAAATTTGGAGTTGAAAATCTGCACAAAGTATTTCAGGATCCTCGCCGGTGCTACAGAGCCTGTGCACTGTGCTGAACTTCTTCGGACTCAGACTTGATTTAAAAGAAGAACGGAGCCCTTAACTCGTGTGCCATGATATTGATCCATTGTTCAAACTTAAAACTTTTATCTTCAGACTCAGGCTTGAATAAGAAGTAGAATGGAGCACTTATGGGTTCTTACCCTTGTACCATAATGTTGATCTGTTGCCTAAATAAACAGAGGGGGAGGTCCTAGATAGCGTAAGCAAAGGACACTATGAACCAGATACGCCTGATAGGACAAAGGCTGGATTCCAAGGGGAGACAAACACCAGAAACTTGCAGGGGCACATTACAGTAATAATCACACTGGGCAGGTTTTTGCAGAGAATGGAGCCAAAAAGCCGCTGGTGCTGAAACAAGACTTTTTTTATACACGAGCACACTAGACTAGGTGAAGTTTAAGTGCTTAGTAATAATATTAATAATAATAATAAACAAACATCAGAAAGAGACGGTCATCATTTGTGGGTCATGATATGAAAAGAAGGAAACTGGAACATCTTGTGATCACTGGAAAGATCTGTGGGGGGAAAAAAAGCAGAAGAGAACTGCTTGAGAAGATTCTTGACAGCCTTTTGCCATGGCTTGGGGTGGGGTGCCGCAGTGAGTTTGTTCGTTTCTTTATCACAATGGAGCGCTAGAAACCCTAATGGGGATAAATGTTCTTTAGCTATCACTTTGATTCTCGTTTCAATTAATGGGCCTTTCATTCTTAGAACACTGCCGCGAATATTGGAATCTCGTGTCATTTTATGACTGTCTCCCTAATCGACATTAGATAACTTATGTGGATTAGAATAGATACATTATAAGACGTTTCTGATACACAGTTATTACATTACAGCAGTGTTTTCCAAACTTTTCTTAGTCGCGGCGACTTTTTTTCAATTAAAATTTATCCTCGGCGCCCTAACCTAAGTAAAAGTATGAATTTTCGTTTGTAAAAAAAAACACACGAAAACTCGTGTATCTTCGAATATTTTGCCACTCCACCGTGGAGAGGACGCGGCTTCCTGGGGCGCCGCGGCGCACAGTTTGGGAATCAATGTATTATAGGTTTGAAGTAAATAATTAAACGGTACTTATCTCACAGCTTTTTTTATTCTTTATCAACACTTAGTGAATTATTTCTCTTTGTGTTTGTCTCTGTAGCTGTCTTTGTCCCTCCCTTTCTCTTAGAATGATAAAGTGAGAAACAAACAGGTGGACAGGTATGTTCCAGTCAATATTTAAGGGCTGATGTGGCAGGTATGACACCGACCGCATTTATTTCTCTGGTCATTTCCTAGGCTGGGTCACCCTGGAATTTTAGAGTTATAAAATGACGGGAGAGGAGAAGATGAGAAAGAAGGAGGAGAAGAAGAAGAAGAAGAGGACGAAGAAAAGGGAAACGAAATTGAAGAAAAAGAATTCTCGACAATTCACGGACATATTACTTGTGTAGCTAAATATAGCTATGTCAGTGTACGGTTTTCAAAAGGCGGTCTATGTGACAGTAACCATATCATATTTTGTCTGTATGTTTTGTCTGTAGAATATGGATCTAGCACCATACACCCAATGCGCTAACTGCGTGAGAGGGGTTTGTTTGTGTTCTACATACATATTTTACTGTCAGACATACATGTTTGACTTTCTGATATACATATTTTACTGTCAGACATTCACATGTTTGACTTTCTCATATACATATTTTACTGTCAGACACACATGTTTGACTTTCTGATATACATATTTTACTGTCAGACACACATTTTTTACTGTCAGACACACATGTTATATTGTCAGACACACATGTTTGACTTTCTGATATACATATTTTACTGTCAGACACACATGTTTGACTTTCTGATATACATATTTTACTGTCAGACACACATGTTTTACTGTCAGACACACATGTTTTACTGTCAGACACACATGTTTGACTTTCTGATATACATATTTTACTGTCAGACACACATGTTTGACTTTCTGATATACATATTTTACTGTCAAACATACATTTTTTACTGTCAGACATACATATTTTACAATCAGACATACATGTTTTACTGTCAGACATGCATGTTTTACCGTCAGACATGCATACATATTTTACTGTCAAACATGCAAACATGTCTTACTGTCAAACATACACTATCAAACATACGCTGTCAGACATACATATTTTACTATCAGAAATACATATTTTACTGTCAGACATTCATGTTTTACTGTCAGACATACATTGTCAGACATACATATTTTACTGTCAGACATACACTGTAAGACATACATATTTTACTTTCGGACATACATATTTTACTGTCAGCCATATATGTTTTACTGTCAGATATACACTGTTAGACATACATATTTTACTTTCAGACGTACATGTTTTACTTTTTGATATACATATTTTACTGTCAGACATACACTGTTAGACATACATATTTTACTTTCAGACATACATGTTTTAATTTATGATATACATATTTTACTGTCAAACTTACGTATTTTACTGTCAGACATCATATTTCACTGTCAGACATACATATTTTACTGCCAGACATACACATTTTACTGTCAGACATACACATTTTACTGGCAGACATAGACATTTTACTGTCAGACATACATATTTTACTTTTATACATACATTTTTTGGGTGTATTTATTCAACAGGGAAGCTTTGACAACGAATTTACTCAGATGTTTACTATTCGGCCATTTAAAGATCATGGACGTCATGTTTAATCTTATCATCGAAGTCACACAAACAATAAATTTGCAGCTGCAAGAGCGGTTTCGCAAGATCTCTGGCGTTTATGTGTGACTCATGTAATCATTGCAGCTGCTGTTTCAATAGGCAGCATACAAGTATCTCTACAAGTATAACCGACAGTACTGGCATTTGCTTTCGTTTTCTCCAGAACAATCCATATAATATGTTTAGTTTTGAATTAGGAATCAACATCATAGCACTCGGGACACACCCATAAGCGCTTCATCCACAATCTTCAGCAGCAAGCTAATCCAGAGAATAAATCTCTCACATGTGCTTCCTTAGCTGTCGGCACCGTCAAGCAGCAGTTAACCCTTGTGTTGTTAACATATTCCATGGAGTACCCACTACCGGGACCGGTGGTAGCTCTGCTCCAGCAGGAGAACGCCTCCATGGTCCCAAAGTCTTATTTCATTAGCTCGGACAAGAAGTCTATAAAGATAACGCTAGTTTACGCCAAAGCTGATCAACCAGCGGACCCGGTGACTACATCGTTAGCTGACAGAAAGAAGACCCGGTATGGACCTTCGGGAAAACCTTCCAGCAAACCATCATTGAGGCGTACGCGGAGCAAAGTTCTTTCGGAATCTTCGACTTCCACAAGCAACGAGCAAACAGATAACGTGTCTCACAGTGAAACTGACCAACTGTGCGTTAGTCCTGAGCTACCGATTCACACAGACAGAAAACGGGACGGCGAACGAATGTCGACGGCTGACAGTGGGCATCCATCTTCATTCGGTGTTGCCACAAATGAGCACGACACACTATCAGAGTTCGATTCTGAAGTTGGGGATGAGGGCGATGAATCGGGTTGTGACTCAATTAGTTCCTTACGGTCTGAAAAACCGAGGACTCCCTGCAGTGAAATGGCTGTTCCTGCATCCTCCATAGGTCCTGGTGAAACACCGGCAGCAACTCGAGATGAAATGTGGCAAACGTGGACGCGTATTCCAAGGACTCAGATATCCAGTCGCAGCCTCATCTCTACGCCCCTGTCAACTGTACGCCGCTCCATGTCGCCGTCTGTAGCATTTGTCCAAAGAACTATTCCAGCCGCTGTTACACTGCGCAGACCACGATTACACGAAGGAGTTTCATGGGACGGTTCAGGGAGCTTATGACAACAAATTGTGCAGCCCACGGAGCATTCTAGCTACACAAAGTACAGCTACACATAGAATCATTCTAGCTTCATGTCAAATCATTCTTGCTATACACAGAATCAATCTAGCCACATGTCGAATCCTTGAAAACCAACATCTAATCCTTCTAGCTGCAAACGAAATCATTCTGGCAGTATATCGAATCATTAAGTCAACTAATGCGCAGATCTCATCCTCAGTATATCAATCAGCGTGTGGCAAATGAACGGCACCAATTCTCTGCTGATTTACTAATCTTCTTCGGCCGCCATACAGAGGGCTGCTGTCTTGCTTCGTCCCCTTTTGACTTTCTGTTCTTACAGTGTGGTCAAGGCTGCTGATTAGTGTCATTGATTTGCCACTCTGAGGACATTTGGTAAATCATCCCGAATTATCCACTTTCAACAGCAGCCATGCCAGAAAAACCACCAGTTTGTTTGTCTCCTTTTAAACCATCGCGAAGAACAGTTCTGGTTGAACGTTGCAGCCGATACCCTTAACTCGTTCTTTGCATATTGATACATTATGTCAGCAGTGGTTCTCTTCATCAGCTATTGCTTGAGGATTCATATCTACAATAATCAGAAAAAAGACATCACCATCAACAAAGGTCTTGTGGGAAAGTTCGGACAGTTTGTAAACACAAATGATAAAGAAAACTCGTGGACGCAGATCGTTCTAGTGTCCGAAACATACTATAATTATTATACTACTACTATCATTATCAAATCATTCAGCTCGTGTGCTATTATTAAAGCTTCGTAACCATGTTTAGCCATTAATGTTTGCTCCATTCGGTGTTGCATTCAATGGTGAATCTCTGCATGCCTAAGCAGCTAAAATGTTTACGGGTCGGTCTTTTTGTAGCTTGCTAATAAATATGCCTTCCAGAATATGATTTCATGAATATTATGGCTAAGCCATATTAGCCTTCTTTATTAAATTCTGTTGAACAGTTTAAACACGACCGGCTCCAGCTGACGGGAGGTGCTGATGGCGTCACCGGGTCGGGCTGACGATGCGTTAACGCAACGGTTCTCAAACAAGAAATAAACTATTTTTGACAGTGGCAAAGAAAGACAACTTAAATTTTAACTGTTAAATATCTACATGCCTTCTTTAATAATTTCACAAGTGTTAACGGACTTTTCTCGATAATTGTCGCGGCACACCTGGCATACGCTAACGGCACGCCAGAGTGCCTCGGCACCCGATTTGAGGACCGCTGCATTAACGCATCGTTAGCCCGACCCGGTGACGTCATCTGGAGCTGGCCGTGTTTCAAACGTCTACATGGTAGTGAACTGATGTACGACAAGCTAAGTGTTGTTAGGGTCTTCTGAGAGCGAGTGAACAGTGCGGAGGCACAAATAGATCATTACGGTGTGAGGATAATGGCCAGACGGATAAACAGTCTGAAAGTTACTGAAGCCATTGGAATTGGAACTTTTTTCTTGCTGCTGAAGATGGTGAGAGAGCTCTTATGGGAGTGTCCCCAGTGCAGTGATGTCGATTCCTAATTTAACATTAAAATACGTCTCTTTCTTTCTTTCTTTCTTTCTTTCTTTCTTTCTTTCTTTCTTTCTTTCTTTCTTTCTTTCTTTCTTTCTTTCTTTCTTTCTTTCTTTCTTTCTTTCTTTCTTTCTTTCTTTCTTTCTTTCTTTCTTTCTTTCTTTCTTTCTTTCTTTCTTTCTTTCTTTCTTTCTTTCTTTCTTTCTTTCTTTCTTTCAGAACATTACAGTGCATCTATAATTATCTCTTTTTTTCTTTGTTTATAGTATCTGTCGTAGAGGAGTGGTAGAACAATTCTTGTGGGTAAAGTACAGTAAAGGACCCTTGAGGCGTTTTGGGCATATCTGGCAAGACCTATATTTTATAGACCAGTCGGCATTCGCTTGGTGATATCGTCAACATCATGATGGCCGCGTTTACTTCCCATAACTTTTCCTGGTGCCCATTTAAGGCAGGGTCGACCTGGGAGCCAGGGTCATTTTATTTACACATGTCCGGTTCTGTCAGGACTTTATTCTATGATACTATATTTTATCTTGTATACTACAGCCAGGGGCTGTTGGGGTCGGTTCTGCAACGTCATGTAAAGGATACGCAACCAACTAACCTTAACTATAGTTTTTTTTTTTAATTGTTTGACGCAATGGTGTATTTTTTACTCTGTAGTTTATTCTTTCATGCTGTAATTCATTTTATTCTATACAAAATATCTTATTGTATTCTTTGATGCTCTACTGTATCTTTTTTATACTGCTGTTTTTTTTTTTTTAAATCTACCACACTGTCGTTTAGTTTATTCCACTACACTGCAGTTTTTTGGGGAGCAGGGGGAGGGGTGGGGGAGTAGGGATTTTCTCAAAATGAAAGAATAATTGTATCTCTATTCCTACATTTTCAGTGGGTTTGTGGTCATTATTTCATGAAGCCCTAAACAGCTGCTTAAAAGTACAAATGTGTTTGTTAAGGACAAGGCATTTCAAATCCTTCATAAGTCAACCAATGGCAGAAAACTAAGATTTCTTGAAGCTTCCTCGATTCGTCACTTGCTCCCCGGAGCTATGTATACAGAAAGACATAATTCTGATTTTACGGCCGTCTTGGTAAAACAGGCAGTCACGTTTGATCGTTGTTGAATTTTTACTTCAGTTTTAAAGGAGTCACTTATCTGCTTTATTTATGTAATTGTTACTGTAGTATGCACCTGACGAGATACAGCGAAATATGCCAGGCAATAAATTGTTCGATCTATTGTGTATGTCTTCTTTGTTCAAATTTACAACGGGGGAAATGATTGCTTTGGTTTGTTAGTTTGGCATCACAATAGCTTGTTCTCTTGTACCACATGCGTTCAGTCACAATACAGTTCAGGTTCCGCAGTAAATAATTGGCTGTTATGGCTCTCCAAACGCTCTCTCTCTATCTCTCGCTTTGGTTCTCCAGTCTCTGAGACTGCTGTTCGTCCATTGTTTAATACTTTCCACAAGTTGTCTTACTGCCTACCTGTTGCTGTTTGCTTTCACAGTTTCCCATCAGCATGAAGTAAAAATAAGAGGATTGTGACTTTTCATGTGGCCGAGATGCTTCACTGTTTTCTTTCTTTCTTTCTTTCTTTCTTTCTTTCTTTCTTTCTTTCTTTCTTTCTTTCTTTCTTTCTTTCTTTCTTTCTTTCTTTCTTTCTTTCTTTCTTTCTTTTTTCTTTCTTTTTTCTTTCTTTCTTTTTTCATTCATTTATTGATTTCCTTTCTACCTTCTTTCTTTCTTTCTTTCTTTCTTTTCTTCTTTCTTTTCTTTCTTTCTTTCTTTCTTTCTTTCTTTCTTTCTTTCTTTCTTTCTTTCTTTCTTTCTTTCTTTCTTTCTTTCTTTCTTTCTTCTTTCTTTCTTTCTTTTTTTCTTTTCTTTAATTTTAAAAATCTTTTTGTTTTTGTTTTTTGTTTATCTGATTCCGATCAAAATGGACGATAGGCACGGCAAGGTCTGTGTGCTTCTGACAGACCGTGGCCGTTGCATTTTTCCTTCATTTGTAGAAATGGTATTGCTTTGTTGCCCCGCTGCTGAGTTGAGTGCATGGCGCGACACGGTGAGCTGTGAATTGCTTTTGGAATGTTTGTCGAATGTGACCAATGTGGTGTGGTGTTGTGAACCGTAGATTCAGTAAATGGCGCGTGACATGTTATCACAGGACTGGTGGAGCTTGATGTGATTACAACTGATCGCCTGTGCAACTGCTGAACTGCCTGTAACTGCTGCTGCTACGATGATGAACTGCATTTCTAATGTCAGACTGTTTGTGTTAGCACTTTTGATGGCTGCCTTATGCTTGTAATGCTTGTGTGTATGCCAGTGGATATGCTGAGACTGTAGTCTGTGTCAATTTGTTCCACAGGGGACAGTGGTGGACATACTGTGTGTTGTTTTTCGTTGGAACAAGATCGGAGCAACTGACTGATTGACTTTTAACTGTCAAAGGATTTTTTACGTGTGCAACAATGCACACGGGTGTTCGATCTCACTACCCAGAGACCAGGGAGAATTACTAGAAAAAACAACAGCCCTTACCGGGGATTGAACCCAGAGCCTCTAGCACTCGAGGCGGACACCTTGCCTTGAGACCACTCAGCTCCCCAGACGTTCTATAGGAGACTGATTCATGTCGCCGTCGAGATTCTCAAGACCCTCCCCCCCCACTTCTCTCTCTCTCTCTCTCTCTCTCTCTCTCTCTCTCTCTCTCTCTCTCTCTCTCGTTCCCTCCCCTCTCTGTCTCACACAATTTTGCAACACTGCCCAATATTTTCATAATTGCGTTTCTTCAAGCATTTGTTCGCTTCAAATATGCGTCAATCAATGAGTGATGCACTCTTCCCTTTTAATACTTTTCTTTGCATGGTCTGTTGCGCGACTGTTAGACAATCAAAAGTACAGACGATTAACACGAAACCGTGTAACGTTCTTCCAAGCCTCAGTTCCGCACAGTTTCTAACAAGTAAATGACACTTAGGAGCTTCAAGTTCAAGTAGGCAGTGTGACAATAAGTTGTCAGTAGACCAGCTGTTATTGTAATTATCTCATAAAATTACAGCAGGCAGGGAGACATCTTAATTGTGCAATTATCTGCATGTCATACCCGTAGTTTGTCACCAGGTTAGCTGGCGGGTGGTTGAGCAACGGTTAGTTCCTGTCTACCTGCCATTTGACCTGTGTGTCTACTGTTCTGTCTGAATCAGTATCGTCTAACCTGTAAGCTTGCCTGCCTACATTACGTTTTTTTTTTTAATCGAATAGATAAATCATCACGGTCTGAAGAAATTAGCTGAGTTGAGTGAGTCAATAATTTATATCACAAAACTCGGGGTATTTCCATACGTGCTCCATCATCATTTTCAGCAGCAGCCAGAGTTCCAATACTGATGATACCGGTCACAATCTGGTTACATGTCTGTCTTGCCTTTCCTCTGAGTGTAGTGAGCCGG